TGTGTGTGTGTGTGTGTGTATCTATGTGTGTGTGTCTGTGTTGTTCCAAGTTTCTTGGGGACTTGGGCAAAATTTTTTGACGTAGCAACATTCTCATTTGTAAAAGTGGTATAATAATGAATGCCAAATTCATAGGGTTTCTATAAGGATTGAAGGAAACAATATCTGTGAAGCCCTTAGCATGGGGCCTGGCACAGAGTACGCATTCAATGAGGGTAGCTTATTATTACTATTGTCAGGTATACACCAGGATTTAAATCTATGAACAAATGATATTATGACTAAAAGTGCATCAATGCTTTGTTTTTGGTTTTTTTTGTTTTTTTGGTGAGGAAGGTTGGCCCTGAGCTAACATCTGTTGCCAATCTTCCTCTTTTTAGTGAGGAAGATTAGCCCTGAGCTAACATCTGCGCCCATATTTCTCTATTTTCTATGTGGGATGCTGCCACAGCATGGCTTGATGAGTGGTGTGTATGTCTGTGCCCGGGATTTGAACCTGCAAACCTCAGGCCGCTGAAGCAGAGCACGCGAACTTAACCACTATGCCACTGGGCCAGCCCCAACGCTTCATTTTTGATAAAAGTTATGTCCTCAAACAATTTAGTTCTTGTGCCATCACATGTGAGTCCACCCAAGTGGAATTTTTCTAGAATCTCTAAAACTGTTTTATTATTTCGTAACTCTCAGAGTTACAAATTTTGCAGATGTCTTGTTTAGTCTGTACATTTGAAAAATGAATTAGTTCCAACATTTACATATCTAGAGATGTCACACAAAAGTCTAGATTTCCAGGTTTTCTAGGAAAATGAGGAGTTTAGGTATAGAGGACCCTTGTTCTGCTGCTGGAGAACCTGCTGGAGTTGAGTGGGGGCACACATGCTCCTGCTTGTCTGTCTCCTAATTTATGTGACTCACCTGGCCCTTGTAGGCATCTGAGTTTGTCACCCTTAAACCCAAGGTGATGTCTTATTTTCTCATACATCTTTGGATTGTCAGCTCTTAGCCTGGTTTGTAGGTCATGAATGGATGAACCAGAAAAACAGCCATTTAACTGCCCCTCAAGACAGACTGTTCCAGCCAATCAAGTCTGCAGACCCCCTAGGTGAATATCCACAGAGCCCACCCTCCGTAATTCTCCAACAGCTCCTGAGTGAAGTCCAACCCCTAGTTGGGCACTCAAGATCCACCCCCACTCCAGTCCAAGTTCACCTTCCTTTTCTAGCCATGTTCCCTGCTCCCCAGTTAACCCAGCTGCATCCCACCCCACCCTCTGAACCTGCCTTGTGCTTTCCCAGCTTGGAGCCCCTGCCCTCCCTCAATGCCCCTTCATTGTGAAAGCCTACCTTGTTCTTTTCTTACGTTCCCAGCTAGATGTGGTCCGTTATCATTTGGCATTTCTATAATCCTTGGTTTGTAAATATGAAATGACAGGTATCCCATAGCCCTCTACTGTACTTAGCTATGTATATAGCCCAATTCTGCCGCTTGATGTGCAGGTCCCTACCCACCCCAGTGCTCCCTGGCAGAAACCCTGTTATGGTTATCATAGTATCGCCAAAACCCAGTGCCCAACATGTTGTAAGCGATGCTGAAAATATTTAAATACAGGAATACATTTCCATTCTAAGTAGAAAATGCTATTAATTAATCTACATTCTTCCTCATCCTATTACAACATGAAAACTTACTTTTTCTCAAATAGTTTGTGGCCTTCCTTAGAAAGCTTAACTGAACATTAGTCTTTATCATATTATTTACTTGATGTCTTGGAGTCTTAGTTTCTTTAACTGAGAAACAGGGATAATACAACCTCTTGTGTGGTCCTAAGGATTCAAGGAGTTAAATGCAGGTAAAGTTTTTTTTTTTTTTTTATGAGGAAGATCAGCCCTGAGCTAACATCCATGCTAATCCTCTTTTTTGCTGAGGAAGACCGGCACTGAACTAACATCTATTGCCAATCTTCCTCCTTTTTTTTTCCCCAAAGCCCCAGTAGATAGTTGTACGTCATAGTTGCACATCCTTCCAGTTGCTGTATGTGGGACGCGGCCTCAGCATGGCCGGAGAAGCGGTGCGTTGGTGCGCGCCCGGGATCTGAACCCCGGCCGCCAGTAGCGGAGTGCGCGCACTTAACCGCTAAGCCACGGGCCCGGCCCGCAGGTAAAGTTTTTAGCACGGTGCCTGGCACAGAGCAAGCGTTCAGTGCATGGTTATTATTATTGCTATGTAGAAATACACCTAGTATTTAGAAGTGGCTTGCTTCATTCTATTTTTCTAAACTGCTTCTTAGGAAAGAGCAGGTCGAAGATTGTTGTTTGTGTGCCCTACACTAAAGAAATGTGTTTTGCTCAAAAAAAAAAAAAAAAGGTTATTTCAAACACCGATGGTTCAGACAATAGTAGCTTTTTTAAAAGTACACTTTTATAAACACCAAGGTAATGATTGATTCAGGAAAAGATTACCAAAGAATGTTAAAACCATCAGGCCAAAGTGTGTTGAGGAATAGGATATTTACACAGTCTCACAATTTCATCCCATAGATTACTTATTAATTATAAAGGGAGAAAGTTACTTTTACGTTGGAGAAATTTGGTGGATGTCATTTCAACCAAGTGGTCAAAATTCCCATCACCAAAGAAAAATCATAACTGACATGCAATAGGATTTATAATAGTGAAAAATAAAAATAAAAAAAATCACCATCACCATTATGGGCCAAACAGACCCTTGTGATGTGATGTAATGAGGAAATAACATCATCTATGTAGTATTCTTGCAAAAAAAATTAACCTAGTCCTACCAACGAGGGACCAATGAGACAAATCCATCTTGTGCAACAAACTACAAAACAATTGACCTAGACTCTTCAAATAAACCAATGTGAGGGAAGACCAAAGAAAGAAAGAAACAAACAAAATGATGGAGAAACCTTTCTCAATTAGAGTCTAAAGAGACATTCATCAACGCAGCACACGGGCCTTGATCAGATCCTCTAGGGGGAAGATAGGCACAGCTATAAAAATCCTAATTGGGATGACTGGTGAGGTTTGAATATGAGCTGTATACTGGATAATAAAAAGTAGGGAAAAAATAAGGTTGTGACCCAGTCATATTTTGATTGACCAGCTCTTTCCTGAAGAATTTGGTATCCAAGAATTTATATGTTTGTAAGACCTAAAAATGTGAGAATTACATGTGACATGTTTGCTCTGTTGAACTGGATCGGAGTTTTTGTAGCAAGAATGTGCAGTTGGGCTGTATTTGTATAAATGGGCATGAGAATTGAGAAAAACACAAAGAGGATGCCGATAGCTAATGCCTGTAATTCTGTGCAGTGTTTGGTTGGGACAATGCTAAGTGCACGTGGAGAGTGCTGGGTAAATGCGAACTGATGACCACAACCTGCAGAAGGTCCCAAAGTGGGGCCCTTGCTTTACTGTTTCTAGAAAATTTTGCCTAATGAGGGTGGATTGTTAGTAAAATGATATAGCAATTTCATTCTCCTTTCAGGAAGACGTGGCGGACAAACAGCTGGTGGGAGCAGCCCTGGCTGTCTCCATCTGGGACAGTGATGTATTAGTCTCAAATAAGGGAACATTAAACCACATGGAAGTCTGGCTGGCAGTCATCAGAGTAACTCAGTGTTTGGGCGCCTCTTTGTTTCAGGGGGTGATAGGAGCCATTAACAGCTTACTTTTAGTTTCAAAAGCCAGAGAGATTTTCATTACTAGTGTCCTCAGGCATAGATTTTTTAATATAAAAAAAGAAAGAAAGTTCAGGATGGAAATAGCCCATCACCACAGGAACGTCTTCTGCAGCAGAAACATATTATAGTTTACCTGTCAATCTTATCAGCATGCCAGGTTTATTTTGAGTGTCTGGAACGAGGAAGAGGAAGTAGGGAAGAAAGGTGATGGCAAGGATGATAGAGGAGCCTCCGGAATCACTAATCCCTCGGAAAAGCTGAGGGCTTAATTCCAAAGTGGTATTGAAATCTCAGGTTTCTTACCTCTCTAGATAATAAGGTGATCATTCTGGCCCAGAGATTTTCCCTACTTCTTCCAAAGCTTCAATGCCCTACTTTTTGGATTTTTTTGGACAGGTGTTATGGTAGATTCTAGTTGGCTACAAATTCTTTGTCACTTTCCCCAACAAGAGGTGGATTTTCTTTCCCCTCCCCTTGAAGCTGGGCTGGCTCTGAATCTGTTGAACCAACAGATTGCTGCAGAAGTGCACTGAGTGGTTCCAGGCCTAGCCTTTCAGAGGACTTCCGCTTCCTCCCTCTTGGAACCCAGCTCCCACGCTGGGAGGGGCCCAAGCCACACGGAGAGGCCGACAGCCACTGTGAATTGGCAGCCCTGTGGAGGAGCTATCTTGGACGTCCCAGCCCTGTCAGGCTCCCGATGATGACATCTCGTGCAGAAGCAGCCCAGCAAAGGCCAGTCCATACCAGAGAATCACAGAATCATGAGAGAGAATAAAATGTTTTAAGCTGCTACGATTTGGTGTGATTTGCTCTGGAGCAATAGATAACTGAAATTTGTAAACAAAAAGTTCACAAGAATTCTTGCTAGCCAATGCAGAATAACAAAGCATGAGACAACACTTGCAGAGTGGGAACAGAAATGTTTAGAACAGGTGACGACTTCTTTATCCTTTAGTGAGTTTTTTTTATTAAAGCCATTCTTTTTGTGTGTGTGAGGAAGAGTTGCCCTGAGCTAACATCTGTTGCTAATCTTCCTCTTTTTTGGTTGAGGAAGATTAGCCCTGAACTAACATCTGTCCCAATCTTCCTCCACTTTATATGTGGGTCTCCGCCACAGCATGTCTGATGAGTGGTGTAGGTCCACGCTCAGGATCCGAACCTGTGAACCCGGGCCGCCAACGTGGAGCACACTGAATTTAACCACTATGGCATGGGGCCCGCCCCCTTTAGTGAGTTCTGACCTCAAAACTGGCCTCAGCTTTTAGGCATCTTTATGAGGCTCAACACAGAAAATTTAAAAAAAGAAAAATTTCATTTCAGTACAGCCTTACCCCAACATGTGTGTTTCACACAGACCTTATTTTTTAAAGAGTTTATTGTATTTAATACATTATAAAATTTGAAAAATTGTAGGAAAGCAGCAGACTCAAACTGGAGCAACTCCAACAAGTAATAATTCTGGCCCCTTTGCAAAACTGATCAGTTTAAAAACAAAGTAACGTTCACATCTGTGAGGTGGACCAAAAAGTGTGGCTTCTGTACAAACTACATTTAAAATTTCATGTCTAACGTCTTTCGAATGCAATGTGCTCATCAGCGTTTTTCTGAAGTCCTGCCCGGTCCCTGCCTAAAGAGACATGAAACCTCCATATGCAAAGAAACTCGATTCAAGGTGTTTTTTTGTTTTTGTTTTGTTTTTTTTTTTTTTTTTAAAAAAAAAAAGGAAAAAGAAAGACAAAGGAAAAAGAAACAATGGATGGCTATTGGCAATGGAAACTGTAAGGAGATGCGTCCTCACTGCTCATGGCTTGTTTATTGGTCAGAGGCCTTGGGGGCCCAGGACACTTCACGGCCATCACAGCACCAACTGTAGCTACCACCTTTTTTTTTCTGTTTTCTTTTTTTTTCACTTTTTTTGCATTTCCTACCTTTTGACATATATATATATTTATATATTTTTTACACCTTGAGGATATCACTATTCCAATTGTTCCCATATGAATGCAGGTGTGGTCTCTACTGGATATAAATGTGTCTTTTATTCAATTTTAGGTCCAGGACTTGGTTTGCTGTCCCAACTGCACATAAATGTCCCTTTTTGTTTGCGTTATTGGTTGTGTATTTTTTTTCCTTTTTGCATAAGGAGTATGTCCGTTTAGTCCAGAGGCTCTTGCTTTATCCGGATGACAGAGGGTACACGGGGCGTCCGCCTCAGCTCCCGCCGCAGGACGTATTCACTGAACTGAGACGAGTCCACTCCTCCCCCACAGGAGCCCACGATTTCAAATCCTCTTTGCTGCAACCTCTCGAGGACCTGTGAGGGGCCAAGACAAGCATCCAGTTAGGTGTGAGATGGGTCCTTTGGCCACAAAAACAGCCCAAAGAATTGTCCCAAAGTTTGAGATCATGTGCAGCTCTGATCAGTCTTATCCAACCTCTAAGTCTCTTTGAGTTTCTGGTTTCAAACAAAGACTCTGGATTAAAGGGCAGGAGGGAGGGAGCAAACGTTTCTAATACAGTACCTAAAATGTGCTTTTATACGCTGGCTTAAACATGCCAAGTTCATGAAATCATTACAACCACCTGGCATAATTGGTGGTGTTCACCCATTTCATAGATGAGAAAATTGAGGCTCACAGCTAGTAAGTGATGGAACTGGGTTTCCAACTCAGGTCTGTTTGGCCTCAAATCCCATGTTTTTTGCAATATGGAAAAATACTACCTTCTCTGCAAAAAGAGAGAGTGCACATTTCAACGCTTATTTACCACTAAAATATATTCAATGAAATGATAAAGGATATGGAAAGTAAGTCAGTGTCATTATCTGAATTTACTCAGCCAGTGATTCACTCTCAACTCTGCCATTGTTCAAATGTCCCAATACTGAGTTAATATATTTCAGCTGGAAGACCGATGTAATTTTAATAGCAGAACAAATGGGCTCTTGAAGACAGTTGAGGTTTATCTATGGGTTTTCAAGTTTGTGGCATTTGAAATAGATTTATTGCTTTGTGTGCATTCAGGGAGGCAAGAATAAATGCAATGGTTATATATTAGAAAACATCCAAAGTAAAGATATTCTAAACTTCTCACATAAACATAAGCCACATAATCTTTTCTTTAATTTTGAAATCAAATAGCTATGCCAGAAAGATCCCTGGGTTTGTCACTGCATGTCTGACCCTCTTAAAGGCAGGAAATATTTCCTGCAACTCTTAGGCAAAAATACAGAAACTGATCTAGAGCATTCTGTGACTTTAGGAATTCAACAAATATTAGACTTGCAAATGTTCCCTGTCAGGATTCCGGAGATAATTAAATTACTTCACCATTCTAAAGGCAAGATGACTCAATCAAAACTTAAAAAAAAAAATGCCTGATTCAGATTTGTTTTTTGGAATGAAGTGAAATGTTACTAAATAACCTTCAAAATGTACTCAATATAAAGTGAACTCTGTTTTTTTTTAATTATTTTTTTTCGGTCAACTACTTTTATATGGAATATAATCTGCTATTTTGCAAAACAGCTAACTAGATGAGATTGGAAAGCAAGAGAGATGCCTTCTAAAAATTAAAACTTCAAATGCTGGCAAATTAAAAAAAAAGTCCTTATGAGAACAAAATGAACACTCTACCCTGCATGCTCTATTTTTGTACATCAATTCACAAAGCATATGCACACCAGGCAGCAAAAGGACAGGAGGAAGAAAACAAGCCCTAAGCTCAAAATCAAGATGTGCTTTGGTGGCAGGTGCATAAAAGGCGAAGAACATGAGGAGATCTCCCCAGCGGGGGCAGGGTTGCAGCCTGTCAGCAAGAAAAGCCCCAGTTTGCTGGGCCAAACCTCCGCACTGGAGAGAATTCTTTGCCGTGATTAGGAGAGGAATTACAAAGGTAGAGGAAGCTTTGAACAATAAAGAGCCTAACTCTGATATCATTTGTCTTTCAGTGTTGTTAGGTGGCTAAATTGCTAACATAAGGAAATCCCTAAGCTCCCTCCCCTGGGGGTCTGCTATGTATAACATGATAACTATTCAGTGTGACCCAGTGCTGCCCTGGATATGGTCAAAGCTTATTGCAATGTAATGCAAACAGATTATGCTTGTTGACCATTATTTCTCAAACATCAACATATTAATAGCAAAGTTCCTTAAAGTTAGTGATCATTTGAGAATATTAAACTCACTCTGTGGGGTAGCAGGTCTCCTGTGCCCTATCCCAAAGCCTCTGAATGCTAGAGGATGGTGCCTAGTTCTCGGTAGGAAGCAGGAAGCTCGAGGGGGTCATGGCGATATCATACAACGATGTTAATCCAGATGAAAATTTCCCCATCTGACAGACTCGGATGATCGGGAAACATGTCAGGCATATGAATTTATGGGAGTTATTCGGTGGCCAGAGGGGTGAGGCCGAGGCTTTCTGTGTGAGAGATGGAGCCCTAGGGAAGCGATGAAATGCTGTCCTGGCTCTGAAGGGCTCTGCCTCCCTCCGTCTAGGGGAGAGCCCGGGCAGGGTGTATGGGAAGGGAAAGGCTTTCAGGGCTCTAGAGGCTTTTATAAATAGCAGAGGCCCCACTCAGGAATGCTGCACGGGGCAGCACAGGGGCGCACCTCTGGACCGCACAACTCAGTGGCTGCCCTGCTGCCTGAGAGTGTGTGCCTTCCTCTGGAACTCCCAGGGCTCAGTTTCTGTCAGAGTTTCCTGCTGTTCTGCTCAGACATCTGTTCATAAATTTTAAAAATTATAAATAGTTGTGGAAAAATCTTCAAGAGGCAGAATGGTACAGTGGGTACTTCCAGTCTGAGCTTTGGGAGACGTTTTGTTGGGTCAATATTGAACAAAGTCATGGGCCATTCCAATTAAAAAAGGGGGAGGGAACCCCCAAACCCTCATTCCATTGACTTCAAATCATTTTGAGTCATGTAGACCTGGAGTCAAGACCCAGCTGTGCCTCCATTTCCTCATCAGCAATTCAGGGGGATTAACAGTGCTTACCTGTTAAGAGGTGTTATAAGAAGACAACGCATCTACAGCCCTTGGCCCGAGGCTGGCACATGTTAGCTAAGATGATGACCGCACCCACCAGCATCTAAGGCATATGGCACCTCACATGGTGTAAACCAAAGTTCTGAATTCCACCCTCAAGTCTCCTTCTCCCATGGACTTCTCCATCTTAGAAAATGGCAATTCCATTCACTCAGTTTCTCTGTCAAAGATCTTAGTCATCTTTGGCTTCTATTTTACAATCCATAGCCATTGACAAAAAACCTTGTTAGCTCTACATTCAAGATATTCAGAATTAGACACTTCTCAACTGTTGCTTGGACCATAGCTTTCTAACTGGCCCCCTTGCTTCCACTGTTTTCCACCTGCTGCTGGAATTGTCAAATACGAGTTACAGCATGTTACTCTTTCATGCAAAATTCTCAAATGGCTTCCATTTTACTCACACATGCAAATGAACCAAAACCAAAAGAAACCAAAACAAAAAACCCCAGAGTGCTTACTACCCTCAATGAGGCAATCCATTATCTGTCCCTGGCCACTCGCTGGCCTTGTGTCTTAGCACTCCCTATCCTTTTCACTTTCTTCAAGCCACACTGGCTTTCCTGATATTCCTCAATATGCTAAGCATGTTCCTACCTTGGAGTCTTCAGAACTTGCCGGTCCCTAGGCCTGGGACACTCTATCCCAGATATCCTCTTCTCACTACCTGACCCACATTTATGCTGGTTACAGTTTGCCCCCCCACTCCATTCCCAAAATGTAAGTTCCATGAAAATAGCACTGTCTATTTTTTCTCTTCCGTATCTCCAGTGCTCATACCAGCACCTGGCACACAGTAGATGTTCAATAAATATTTGTGGAATGATTGAATGAATGCTGTAGGGGGTGACTATGTTCACCTACCCAACAGAAGTGTTACCACAGGAGAGTTCTCCAGCTCTCTGGAGGAAAGGCACTATGTGAGGGCAAGGTTAAGTAACAGGATTAAGAGTGGCATTCAATGCCACACAGTATATGACAATGCTATACCTGGACTGAGTTGAGGTGACAGTAGCCATTCAGTGGAAACCTGATGACATGCGTCGAGTCGTGATTCCAGCCTGCGTTGACAGAGTTACACATCACGTCGCCGATCTCGGGAAACACTTCTTCTATCAAGGATTTGTCACCGCTGAGCGTGATCCTTTCTCCAAGGTCTGGGGCAACGCGCACCACTAGGCACTCACAGGGCCTTGAAAAGCGACCAGTTTCTCTGTCCTGCTTCCATCTTTCCATTTCCAACAACATGGGCTGAAGCTGAAAATATTTTGCCTCTTCATATAACAAAGTGTAGTCCTGAAAAAAAAAACGGTATTCCACAGTGCAAAATACAGACATAAAGTACTGCAAATGTCCACATATAAGAGGTGAAGTTTTCACCTCTGCTTTTTCAGTAATCAAATCTGAGTGTAAAATTTGCACTTACAACACATTTGTACAGACTCAATGTGCATTCACTCATTCATTCATTCATTTGTTCATTCAGTGATTATAAAAGGAGCTCTGGGTATTAAGGTCAACGTGGGCCTCTTCTAAGTGCTTTATATGAATTAAGTCCTTTAATCCCCATAATTTCCCAGTGACTTGGGAACCATTATTATTTCCATTTTGCAGATGAGAAAATTGGGATGTGAAAGGATTCACCCAAGACTTTTCTCTTTTCATAGAAAAATGCCTTTGGGTATTTAAAGTTTGATTGTGTTGGAGAGAATCCACTGTATATTCTCTTGGATGGAGCACAAACATCGACTGAGGAGGAGGCGGCACAGCTGCGCACTGTTCACCAGAAGCCTGGGCTCCTGATCATCTTCAGTGGCAGCTCCAGAGCCTCTCGTGGGAGGGCGTGGGGCAGCGCGCCGGTGGAAGTGAGGCAGGAGAGGTGGTGGATGGATGCCTGGGGGGCATGCACGCTGCTTTTACCTAAACTTGGGTGTTGATCTGTGATGGTTTGGGGGAGGCTGGTGGAGATACAGAGGCTGACGCACATAGATACACCCTCAGCCACCTATGGGTGCTGCCATCATAAAGTGAGAGAGGCAAACAACTTCAGGCCTCGACTCCTGCAAGACAGAGATGCAGGAAGGAAACCAGTCTGTTTTTGAAAGTGCAATCACCCAGTCTTTAGGTGTGGTTTCTTTTTCTCTTGCCTTAAAAAAATCTATTGAATTAAAACAGAAATCTAGCAGACAGTATTAAAACACACAAAAGCCATGGAATGGGAGGACAAAGGAGGATGAGGGGGAGGCAGCAACTTAGGAACAATGTTATCAAGCAGGTCAATATTATGTCTAAACGTAGCTATGGCCACAATCATCTCTGGGTGTGAGGTAAGTGGATACTTGTCCAGACACGTTGACTGAGAACGTTTTAATCAACTGACACAGGCATTTCTGCCTTCCTTCCGTGGGCTGGAGCTGGCAGGCGGTGCCTGGTGCCTGCAGGAGAGCCAGTGCAGTAAGCCCGGGGCCTGAGTGCTGTCAGAGGCCTCTGCCATCTGGACGGATGGAGCATGGGGAGAGGATGACCACGGGAGAACTGTTTTTCCTTGGCACTTTGCTCTTTTTGTTGCAAATCAAACAGCAGCAGCAGAATTAGTCAATGCTTCCAGAGAAAACAGTGTGGAGAGGTGAGAAAGTACCAGTGGGCCTCTAGTGGATCATCCATTTTCCATATTGAGAAACTTGGGCCAGATGGAAGAAGCTATTGTCGATACTCATCAGCAGAATGGGCTGCTGCTTTATTCTGTCCTCTCCTGGCAACTCCACCACTACAGGAGTCTTGCTTCCCTACAGGAGAGCAGCCCATTGCTCTGATCATCTTCATTTCACATATTGCTACCTGCTCAGCCTCCAGACCCAAAGGAGACACTGTTTGCTTGGAGGAGTTGAGAACTAAGCTGAGGTGTTGCCATTCTTAAGGCAGGGCAGACCCGAGGTCCCCTAGCCCAGCCTGAGGGTAAGAGTGGGGAGACTGCAGGTTCCTCGCAGTCGACCTGGGCTCCCCACTACCAGGGACTTGCTGTCTCTGAAGTACACCAGCTGTGAGATATGGACCTCAATACTTTTAAATCTCCTTGACGGCTCTCAAGGAGATTTAAAAACAGCACTGAGGGTTACACAAGAAACAGAAGTGAGAACTTCTGCTACTGCTTTTTTATTTTCCCATGAGATTTAATTACAAATTCTAGCACAAGAAAAGATCTGGACTCCAGTGAAAATATGCTTTGTGTTTCTAGAGCCAACAAGTCTTCAAATCTTAAAGGTGCTTAGAGCAGTCTTCTTGACCGACCTTGACTCTATGGAGGCATCCTTTCTTTTTTTTTTTTTTTTGTGAGAAAGATCAGCCCTGAGCTAACATCCACGTTAATCCTCCTCTTTTTGCTGAGGAAGACCAGCTCTGAGCTAACATCTATTGCCAATCCTCCTCCTTTTTTTTTCCCCCCAAAGCCCCAGTAGATAGTTGTATGTTATAGTTGCACATCCTTCTAGTTGCTGTATGTGGGACGCGGCCTCAGCATGGCCAGAGAAGCGGTGCGTCAGTGCGTGCCCGGGATCCGAACCCGGGCCGCCAGTAGCGGAGCGCCCGCACTTAACCGCTAAGCCACGGGGCCGGCCCTGGAGGAATCCTTTCTAACATCACTGAATAGTGACCATTCAGTCTCTGATTGAATGCTTCCAGTGATGGGAAGCTTACTACCTAACACAGCATTTACTTTGTTTGCAGCTCTGACTGTTGAAATGTCTTTGACAGAATGACCTGAATTTCCCTGTAACTCCAACTTATTAGTTCTAATTCTGCCCTCTGGGGTTACAGTGATCTTCATCATTTTTTGACACGTTAACCCTTCAAACATTTGAAGACAACTGTAACGTGTTAATATCATTCAGGCTGAAAATACCCAATCCTTTCAGCTCCTTTTCATGTGTTACGACTTTGAAGTTCTTCAACATCTGGTATGTTCTTGACTTTGTTAACATGCTTCCTAAAACCCAAACCGGAACTGAACCTAACATTTCAGATGTGATCTAATGAGTGCACTGTACAACCTCTTCTTGGCTGGACCCTCTAACCACTATTAATGCAACCTGTGTTAGTTTCCTGTTGCTGCTGTAACAGCTACCACAAATTTATTCTCTTACAGTTCTGGAAGTCAGAAGTCTAAAATGGGTCATTAAGGCTGTGTTTCTTCTGGAAGTTCTACAGCAAAATCCATTTCCTTGCCTTTTCCAGCTTCCAGAGGCTGTCTGCATTCCTTGGCTTGTGGTCCAGCATCACTCCTACCTCTACTTCTGCTGTCACATTTCCTTCTCCTACTCTGAGCCTCCTGCCTCCTTCTACTTGTAAGGACCTCTGTGAGTACACTGGGCCCACCTGCATTATCCATGATAATCTCCCCATCTCAAGATCCTTCATTTAATCACATCTGCAAAGTCCCTTTTGCCATGTAAGTTGAGATATTCATAGCTTCCAGGACTTAGGACATAGACATCTTTGGGGGACCATCAGTCTGCCTATCCCACAGCATAAGCCTGTATTAGCCTTCTTGGCAGTCCCACTACTCTATTAGTTCACATTTGGCTTATGATGAAATCCCTCCACCTTTTTCCCAAGAGCTGCTATTGAACTAGGTCTTCCTCATTCAGTGTTTGTGAAAATCTTTAAATCCTCCAAATTGTATACTGTACGTTCTGAATTTGTCCCAAGGTACTGAGAAATTTTGAATTCTTTCATCCAGTGCTCTAAGTCTCCCTCTCCTATTTTTGTCATTTTGAACTGGGTGTTCTCTTTGTATATGTGAATCATTTCTTAAAGTACTGAGAGGACAGGGCTATATAGAAGCCTTTGTTCAGGTTAATGCTCAGGTAATAAATTAAGACTCTGGATTTTGGCTGTTCAAGCAGTTATAAAGCCCATAATTCTAAGATCATCCAGCCCATAATTGTGGCATTTGCTAGAGGTCTTGTTGAAATACTGTGCGTTTGAGTGGGACTCCTCAGGGAAGGCTGGAGATGTGGGAGGGGCCTGAGTCTCCATAGTGCCCAGAGACTCTCCTCTAACTGTTCAGGGCTCCAGTTTCCTTATCTGTAAAATGAGTGGAATGACTTACATTCAAGTTGCTTCCAGTCCTGAGGGTCCATGAGTCTATGCCCATGACAATGCCCTGAGCTACCATTTGTCTATCATAACCCAGAGGGAATAACAGGACTTGGGGTAACAAGTCCCCCTGTGCCGACTCTGAATCCTCACACCTTCTTTTTTCCTCTGAGTTCACAAACCACATGTGTACTAATCCGCTCTGAAATCTGGCCACGGACTGACAGAGCACTTCCCTATGTAATGTTCACATTCATCGTTATCTGCTCTTGGAAAATTAGGGAAACACTGGCCCTTCTGAGACTTTTGGCCCTGCTCAGTGATTTCTCAAGCATCCTGCTAGTGGTTATTAAAGTGAAGGTTTAAAAGGGGCTCCCCCAAAGGTCATCCTGCACCCTGGGATGTAATCTCATCGGCCTAGCCTTGAACTACCTCAAACCACCAGGTGTTCTTTTACTCTCTCTTGACTATCTGGGCTCCATTTCTCCCTTTACCACGCTGTTCTGTCTGGTCTCCAGGGTAGAGCCGCCGTCCGTGCAGGGGGGAGTGGATGCTACAGAACAGCTGAGCACACGGGCTTCGCCTGGCCATTGGCTCCCTACGCTGGCTTGCCTCCAGGCATCAGCCAGCCTGGGAACCAAAAAGGTCCTTCTTGTTGTTGTTACCATTTTCTGCACGGTTAAGCTCACACTGGCCATTCGTTTTCTTGGCAGGCCCCTTTATATTTGTCTTTCTCGACTTCCTAACGCATGCTTCTAGTCTCGGCTCATCAGAGAACTCCCTGCAGAACAGACTCAGTCCCCATGGCTGCTTTCTTTAGAAACCGCATCCTCCTTTCCTTCCTCAATCAGGATCATTTAATTTTATTACCTAAATCCCATGTTTTAGAATTTATCATGTTTCCTTTTAGATTTTCTGGCCTTGTGCTCATTTCCTTGTGGTCTCTGAATCTTTGGAAATCTTCTTTCCTTAAGGCTCTGTTCTTACCTAACAATGCCCACCATTCCTTTTACAAAGGCTTTTACCAACTCTAAACGACTCAGTCTCTTATTCGCAAGGTACGAGGTGGAAATGGGCAGGAGTTTATAGGGCAGCAGCAGGTTCGGCCCTAGTCCTTTTGAAGGAAATGAATCCAAAGCAACCACATTTACTTTCAGCAAAGCAACTCCAGAATGTACTAGATGCTGTCACTCTTCTCTGTT